TCACGGATTACTAAAATAAAAAACTATGCTTTTAGCGTTATTTCCTTTCTTGTGTCCCACCGTCTGAAATCGTGTATCCGGAGGCTTCCATGTGTCCATACTGAATTTGTCAAAATATTACACACACAGAATCAATAAAGACTGTTTAAAAAAACTACGTGGCATAAAATCTTAGAGCTTGTTTTCTTGTTTAGGGACGTTTGTCATGTTATTCACAAAAAATGATATTTTTTGGAAACATTTCTGCTTTTATTTGAAATCCTCCGCTCTAGCAGATGCACAAGTTCAAACGTACATAGAGAGGGAAAACAAAGTTGCTTTGCTAAAGAATTTTTGAATGTTAGGCGCAGATTTCTCTACACAATTATAACACGTTTCAAGAGATGTTTTGATGGCACTTCAGTTGCAAAGATCAGATATTCAAATTGATTATTTTCGTTTTAAAGTCCTTCAATCTGTTCAAACAATAGAAAATAAGAAAAGTATGTAATAAACATTTTGGTACCGACAATGGAAGAAGATATGTGTATACATAAATATAACGCATTTCATTTAGCAGCCGCTGCAAAATCTCTTCATTTGAAAAGTGGAAATGTCCGTTTCAGAAAATTATGAAGGTGATAGGTGATTAAAAGCTGTGTTGCTTTCTGCATGAAATGAAAGATGTGGTTCCCATTTTTATCCACTAGTGGGGAACAACTTTTATGTAAAAAAAACGACCTCCCTGGGTCCTAATTGTTAAAAGTTCCTAAAGAATCTGAATAGCGTTTGATTTCCAGCATTGTTGGTATTCACCATTGCGAAAGCGGCCATAAAAGGTTTCCAGTGACTTTTTCTTCTTTTTATATGACCGGATGAGATAATTCTAAGGAGTTTTCTTTATGGTTCCATCGAACAATCGGCAGATATGATAGCCACCTAAGACAGGGAATGACAATGCGGAAATGTTTGCATATAGCCATTATCAGCTTCTCAAATAAACCCCAAATAGAGAGATAATTGCTTTGAATAACTAACTTCTCCCAAATCCGTTGACTGTCTTTTTATGTCAAGTAGGTACGCCCGATACGCAAATTTCCTTCTTCGTGTTTCCCGCAAAATATAGCGTGCGCGATACGAAATTCTCCCTTTCAAAAGTAAATCAAAGGCACCGAAGCTCATTGTTGATTAGAACTGTTATTGTGTCAAAATTGAGATCAGTTGCTTCCGCTTGAAGCTGGAACCAAGTTATAATGAGCATTGACTGGCAGGAGGCTCATCCCTACATTGCAAAAAAAGTTTAATAAGTTTCTTTAATAAAATTCTCATTCCTCAGCGGGTAAGGAGTTCTAAGCTCCGCATGTGTATGGTACACATCTTATCTTAAATGTTCAAGGTCACGTAGTATTCTCCCCTGAGGTGTGAAGTTGCTGGTGTTTGCTGATGTTTGTAGCATAAAAAGCAATGAAAAATTCATTATTTGTTCAAAACGCACATCTGAAATACACTCACAAGAAAACCCGTCGTGCTACCAT